GGGGGGACGTGCGATTCGTGCGATTCTGGGCGCGCGCGGTAAATCGCGCGGCCAAAATCGCAAAAAACGACCATTTCGTTCCTAACGCACCACACCCCACGTCACGCCTCAAAGACGGGGATTCTATGACTGGGACAAATTCTAACATATTCGGCCTTCCGATCGTTCAGTGCTGAGTACGCTTTCTTTCAGAATCAGAATTATCTTAAATAAATTAGTAAAGTCCTACTTTTATTGTGTACTTTTCCATACTGAATCGAATCATTACCATATGATGAAGAAACGAGAATTATTGAATGTGCCAGATGAATTCTTAAACTCTGGGGATATCACACTTACTACTGGGAATCCTCAATCATATCGGATAAACGGGGCATCCACTACATATTTGTACATAGAGGCTAGGGAAAAGCCGCCTGTTGTTCAAATCCCTCCGGGTTCTCTTATCGAGTTTCGGCCCATTTGTTTTCGACAGCAACAAAGGAGTGATCGAGTTCCGTTTAAACTCATGACGAACGTGTCGAGTAACTTCATCGCTCATCTCGAAAATAAAGTTTCTGACAACAAATCGAACCCTTAGTAGCAAAACTAACGTCTTGACGATGAGATAGGGAATGATAAATCGAATCAATGGCTTGGAAGTAGGCTAGTAGATGGGCTGCTTAACTGCAACTGTTGGAACGGATATTCTTCCGACTATTCCAATTGAGAGCTCTCAGAAAGGCTCTCAGAAAATTGGGATAACCAGTAGAACCAGGTACAGTATTACGATTGTCTTTAGGCCTAGCAGAACCACCCCCCCCCCCCCCCCCCCCCCCCCCCCCCCCCCCCCCCNTCCCTCCCACGACATTTTCCTTCGTATTTAATGAATGTGGTGAAGAGCTCACAGCCGAGGTCATGCCTATGTGAAAGCTGGGAATGAGACCTGCAGAAACACAAATCTGTGAAACTCTTTCTCATAAATTTGAACTCCTATGATTCTCTAAGTCAGCATTCCGCTGTCCCCTAGATACATCCAATTGAATTCGGATGGACAGCCCCAATGTTGGGAATCTTCCCAGGAATATTCCGCTCAAGGAGTGTAAGAGTGGACTATCAGCTTACCAACTTAAGAAGGATTGACCATCTTCAAACACTAATCAGTCTTTAGCTGACTATTTATGGTGGTGAAGCTTCTTCAACCCACGATCCTTCTTCAGACTAAGTGCTCTGTGATAACGAAATTCTATGGCAAACTTCCAGTTGAATTTGAGTTTCCGATTCAGTGATCTTCGGAGGGATCTTCCACGAATTTTGGATTCCCAGGCAACCCCCAGTCGTAATTAATCGAACGAAGTCTTGTAGGTGATCTATAAAGTTGATTATTCGGAGAATGCTCAGATGTCATTGTAGGAAGGTTCCAGGTGCCTAGGCTTTTCAAAAGAAGGAATCGTAGTGTTCTCTGCTTACCAAACGCTATCAGGAAGCTCTTGGGCGAATACTTGTTTTCGTTGAAGTTTCTTTTTCGATACAGATTGGATTTTCATGTCCTTCTCGACGTTGAGTTTAGCAAACAGCCTTCGTAGCTTATTGCTAAACATTCTGAAATTAAGCACAATTAACTTCTGGACTTCAGCCAACAATGACTGCATGAGGCCATCAGGTGCAATTAAAATCGCAAAAAACGACAAACGACGAACGAAAAATGGCCGTACACGTTCTCATGAAATCGAATTCTACCGTGGATTCTATTCTATTAACATTTCAAGGGAAATTTCGAATATTCGCTTAGGTGTGGAGTGCACTTGAAATTCGGCTCGTCAGAGCAATTCCACGGCCTAAACAATTACATGATGAATGAGAGTGGGGAGAGGAGAAAGAGCGAAAGTGGTATGTTTATCGAAGCAGCTGCAGCAAGCCGAGAGGCCCAACCTTGAAATAGATCACATCACAAACGAGGGAGCAGGTGAGAACTACAGCTGTTTCTGTAAGGGAATCAAAAACTTCTGCATCATGAGTAAGCCAGAAAGCAAGGAAACATCTGCTTTAACTGCTTTTCAGCAAAGGTCTCCAAGAACGGCTGGCAAGATGTAATTGGATTATTTTTATACAAAGAAAGCAATAAGAGACACCGCTAATTCGTTCAATAAGAGCGAAATAAGCTTCCGAGGGCTCATAAGTGGTTCAAACTGAAGTTTAATCGAATTCAGGAAGTGTTTATGAATACGAGAGTACTACCTAAGTACCTGAGGAGTGATAATTTGAAAAAAAAANAAAAAAAAACTATTACTGTGGTAACTGCATCACAATACCGTCATTGTCGCCAGGTGGGTGTAGCGGTCTGACAAGGAAGCGCGGGCGGACCCAGTCAACCTGCGAGAGGGCGTGGCATCCCGGATGTTCTGCTCTTTCAGCCATTTCACGAATCATTCTTATCATTGCAGCATTAACCCTTATGGAATAGGTCAGCTTGCTGAGCTGATAAGACTTCCCATTACTCAACAACTATATCAATCAATAACCATCAATGATGAGCTCAGTTCCCCACGTGCCTCCGACTTTCAGAGGTCCACTCAACAGGTTTCCAGAGGTTACGGGAAGAGTTCCTTCTCTCCAGAATCCCATTGATAGTGAAGTCATTAGGGTCAAAGAACATTCAGGTGAACTCAAGTCCATTGATTCAAACAACACTGAAGAAACACTAGATAATTGTTGATTTCAAAGGTGAAGCTCGTCATTAGTCCCTTCATTATAAAGGTTACCACTCAGACAATAATGTATGGTAACCGTGACGACGCGCTATACACATCATTGCATTCAAGTGGCAAGGGTTTTACAAACTGTCTAGACTAATTAAAGAAAGTCTTCAAAATTCAATTCAGTATATAAACTTCCATTGAAGCCTTACATCGATTTGGAGATTCCAGAGTTACGCGAGCCAGGTCCAGATTGGACCCGATTCGATGGAATGGAATATCGCAGTACCGGGAACCTTCCAGGACTAATTTCTGTTGTTCAAGAATCGTTCTTTTTGAAGAGATTGCTACCTTCATTACATTGAACTTCGAAGAGTCTATTCCATCGATAATACCTTCGATTGGGAGAGTTTTTGGTTTGGGAAACATGACAGTGGATAGTGAAGTCGTGTGCAAAAACTATTGTTGGAGGGGTTCAGTAACTTGTAAAGAGTAGTGATTCGATTCGTGATGTTTGACGGATCGAGTGGGGAATCGCGTACGACTATCTGAATTGAACAGTATTTTATATGAGAGCACAGCGACCAAATATGTAGAGCTGATTAACCACTGATGGCCACGGTGGCGACGAAATTCAACTCGTGTTTTTCAAAATAATTCGCTTACGCTGAGTCGACAAAAAGATGGAAATTTGGGGATACATTTCATTCAGTTTTAAATGAGATAAAAAACCTGCTTTCGGAAGCAACTCGGAAGTAATATCGCGAAGAATATCTCAATTTGACTGGAAAATAGTAGTCAGCAGTTTCTATAAAGGTCACTCAAAGTTGGTCGTAAGGTTCCAGTAGTTCATAATGGAGAGAATCCTAGCAATTCGCATGCTTGAGTATAGGGGCTTGATTATGCCAATGGAGATTAGTAGAGCGTAGGAGTAAGCAGGAAATGATTAGCTCGCTCTTCAATACCCACGAAATCATTCTCAAATCCTACATAGACGGCGTGTCCTAAAACCATAAACAGCGGAGCGCGGATTGGGATACTACTAAAGATCTCTCAAAGATGAATTCTCATGCAGTAAGGGAACACAAAGCATTCTGAATGAATTGATAAGGGGGTTGAAGTGGCCCCCATAAATGATCATGTGTCACTCATATCATTTGCTACACTATTACAAGACATTCAGACCAGATGACTTGAGAGGAGCGAAAGCTCAGACGCCTCGCCCACCGTCTGGTTCGTGCTTGAACATACTTCAGTGACGGGGCAAGGATTCCGTTGCTAGGCCGTTGCAGGGTCAACGATAACAAAAAGCCCGAAATAGAATGTAGCGGGAAATGAGAGAGAGGAACAGCAAAGAAAGGATGGTAAGGAAGTATGCAGATTGGCAACAAGGAGACAAAAAGGTTGCATGAAACCGCATAAAAACCGAAGAGTCGAAGCCAATAAATCACTGGGGACCTCTGACGATTCCTCACATTCACCCGCTACAGCAAACAGGTTTCCACGATCAAAAAAGTGCAACGTGAAAAAGGATTCTGTGAAGGTTACCTGGAAACAGTCAGCTGTAATACTGACAGAAAATTTACTGATGACCGAAACGCTGAGTAGAAAAGATCGAAAATGAACTGAAGACATTCAGTATTGATAAGGATTGCATATGGTCATAGGGTTGGGGAAGTTGCTATTCAGTTCAGGACCAGATCTTGAGGGTAACACCGGACGAGGGATATGAAGGAATAGATGGAGTTCCTTTGCGAAAGATATCATGAACTGGTCCCCGTAAGTTGACCATAGCTGCCCTAGAGACTACTTAAACCTTTTTTTAAGTTATAAGAGGGAAAACAATGTTCGTGTGCGTGTTTGGATTATCTCCAAAAATTTCATAACATTATCAGCGCCTAGTGGTGTGAAGGCCGCAAAACAAACGGTCGCTGCAACATGGAAAAACAGTACTCGAAATGCAACCATCCGTCGGTAAACGGTAAACTGGCTTATTAAATGGCACGAAAATATTTTTCTAAACTACATTTTTCTGGCACTGGGCTGCAGTCTTACATTCAAAACAAATTTTGCTATTCTTGGCCACCGCAAGTGATTGTATAGGCCACATATACATTTAATACGCCACTACGATTCTGAATGGAAGTCGAATGCGTGGGCGCATCCCTTAGACGGGATTGATCAACGCCCAAGACTTTATCCTTTTATCCTAACGGCTTAAGATTACGTCATAAGACCAATGTCCGACAGTAAACTACTCTGAGGAATGGGTAAGGCGATGCCAAGAAATCAGGAGATTACATATGGTAAAGGAGCCCGTAATGGAAGAGTTCTCAAACGGCTTTCCAATCATGTTCCAGAAACAAAAACAAAGAAGGAAAGAAAACAAAATGGCAAACCAGAAGATAAACTTCCAGGAACAGACTTCAAACGACTAATCCACTTCCCCTCTTTCCACGCGCAACTACTACAACTCCGTTGACCTTCTATGGATCGTGTAAAACCTGCCAGATTCTATCAGATCGCAAAAGTTGGTAGGGCGAAAGATACATATCAGTGAAAAATAGCTTTTTATTCCGCCCAGGGATTCGCTTAGTTAATTTGATGAGCGAAATTAATAGGATAGCGTTCCAAATGGATGGATATAATTATGTGTGTGTGTGGGGATGTCGAAATTCCCCCCCAATTGGATTTGGCTGCACTTTTCTTCCTATTCGGAACAGGTGTAAGGAGCTTATTATGGTGCTGCAAACGGCGAAGAGGGCGAGTAAATATGCTTGAGGCGAGCCGAATAAGAATATGCGCTGTCATCATTCAGAACCTTGTTATTCGTTAGGAAACTTTCAGCAAAACCACGAGCAGCTAGCGGATAAAAAATGAATTCTTCAACTCTGATCAGTTGCCTTAAATAAGCCGCACATTCTACTGTCACCCCAACATTCTAAGAGGGTAATATAATGAAGTTCAGACCTGCTCGTGAAGCATTTACCATGAAATGTATCTAAGACTAGGCGTTAAGGCCAGCGGATGAACTTGAGACATGAAAAGGGCTATTATTCTGGGTGGTTACTTGGAGCGCAACGCGTCAAATTACGCTATGCTTTAACAGGTTGGTTCACTAGGCAACCTCCCCAGGGAGTTCCGTGATTGAGAAGTTGCGATAGCGATTTTGGTGTTGACGAACTCCATGCAAATGTGCACCCATGCATTCAACTTCCTCTGGGTATCGCTGCAAAGTCTGAATGCGTATTTGTCTCACACAATGCCTTGCACCCTTACACGTAGGCCCTGTACCTCATAAAATGAAACCGGGTTGGGAGGTTCGGTTTGCCTGAGCAAACGCTGAGGCGGAAAGAGAATTTCATCAAGGGAGTGTTCCTGTGGGTAACGGAACTTCTCCCCTATCGCGGCATTCTCCCTTGCGGCATGCGGCAAATGTCACTGCAATACCGTACTCACCCCGCCTCCCGAAAATCGATAGGACGCGATATTTTTCCTTGACTGGCTTGCTTTTTCATTGGATTTTATCGTTTTTTCTTCTG